AGAGAGGCGCAGACGCTGTTCACGTGACGTGTGGAAGGGGGCGGGGCCAGGAGGGCTGCTCAATTAAGTGCAAGCGTTAAGTGCGCGTGCGCAGCCAAAACGACGCAGACGCTCGGTTGTTAAAGTTACCAGTCAGTGGCGCCAAAAGTGGGTATGCAGTGTATGCGACGCATAGGGGCACCGCGCTGGAGGGTGCGCTTAAGCATTGATGGGGGGGAAGGGCTTTTTTGTGTTGCATAGCTATTGTGCATGTGTAAATTAAATAATTATTAACAGAAGCAAGCGATTGGGCGCCCCACCGCAGCCCTGCCGCCCCACACTCACAAACACACACACACACACACACACACACACACACACACACACACACACACACACACACACACACACACACAGAACGTGAACACTCTTGAGGAGTCCAGCGCGCGCGCCCGCGATTAAGCGCTGGGGCGCGAGTGTTTTCATTTGAATGATATCTACTGTCATCTGATCAGCTAGCAAGGTTAGCTAGAGATGGAAAGTCCGAAAAAAAGCTCTCCTGGGCACAAAAAAAAAACGGAAGAGGGAAAGGGAAAAATGATTTCGTAGGGATGAAAAAAAACCTTTCTAAGTGATTGAAAGACAGTAGGAGAGTCATCTCGCAAGAAGGCATTATTCCTATTAGCTCTATTAGCTGAAGCTGCTAGCCTGCCTCTAGTAAAATGACAGGTTACGGGTGTTCTGTATGGACCACAAGATCAGGGTTTTAATCTCACACAGGCTTCTGGGAGTAGTCGGATCTCCGTGAGAGCAGCGGGGGTGGTGGTGGTGAGGGGGGGGGGGGGGTTGATTCAGCTAGATCTAATAAAAAATACGTAATAGATAATCACAAGAAAAATAAAGGAACCAGGGGTGGTTATTTAGTTTTTCTGACAGTAATCCTTTGTTTAATTGGATGTTGAGTGATAATACTGATAAATTATTGAATTGGGTGATGCACTTCAGATTTGCTCTTAAATTCCTGCAATTTTAAACTAAAACATAATGTTTTTATATGTAGTTTGAGACTTGTATTTTTTTAATATTTCTAAATTCAAATTTCTTATTATTCAGATGTGCGGATGGAGAGAAAGAAGAAAAAAGAGATATAAAGAATCAGAACAGAGATAGGAAGGCAACAGGTTGGTCTAATACTAGGTGGAAGTGAACACTCACTTAATACCAAGTGATCAATTTTTAAATATTATTTATAATGATCAAGTGCATTTTCAAGAGTGGTAATTTATAGCTGTTAAATAATGCTTGAGACCATGACAGATAGGAATACATATACTAGAATGGCCATTAAAAACCTGGAATTCTAGTATGATTAGAATTTTACTGACCATCTTTTTGTCCTTTAAGAAAAATAAGTGCAGGCAGACAAGGCAAGTCAATGACTACGGGGGAGAATGTGGAGCAGAGAGGTCTACATGATGAAGAAGAGGGACAGAAACAGAGAGATCCACATGATGAAGGAGAGAGAGAACATAGAGGTCTACACAAAGAAGAGGGAGAAGAACAAAGAGGTCAACATGATAAAGAGGAAGAGGAACAGAGAAGTGCAGAGGAGAGGGCTGGTGAAAGACCTTATTTAAAAGATCCATCTGAATGGCCTTCACCACATGAAATTGGGGACACATTGAGGCAGTACATGGTTCAGAATGGCCCACCGAAATGTCCTGGTGGGCCATATCCAAGATCAGAGAAGAGTAAACGGTGTTTTTCCAAAGCACACTGTTTTCGTTTACTGTCCAATGGAGAGAAAGTGGAACGGGATTGGTTACTGTACTCCAAAAGTACTAAAAGTCTATTGTTTTGCTTGTAAGCTTTTTGGTGAAGCTAGAGTTGCTGACACACGCCTTGTGACGGGTTATAACAACTGGCAGTGTCTTTCAAAAACCCTGATGCACCATGAAACTAGTGGTTATCACATAAATGCTTATCTGTGTCACGATCTGCTCCTGCCTCCCTCTGACTGTGACTCTCCCCTGCCTCCTGTTTAGTTTTTTGGTCTCACCTGCCCCTTGTTAACCTGCCCATGTGTTCCTGATTGTTTCCCTGTGTATTTATACCTCCCGTCTTGTATGTGTCAGTGTCGGATCATTGTTGTTTGTCGTGTTGTTCTTGTTGTATCCTGCCGTATCCTGCTATTAAATCCATTTTTATGTTATCCATGCCTGCATTCCTGCCTCCTGATCAGCTCCACCACACATGGTCCGACGCCACCCACACCACATCATGACAATCTGATGTGGAAAGAATTGGCATCTCGCTTACGCATAGGTAAAACTATTGATTGTGAATTACAGAGAGCCACGCCCGCTGAAAAGACACACTGGAGAAGTATTTTGACTCGAGTGATTGACTGCATACTCTTCCTTGCTGAAAGAAACTGCCGCTGAGGGGAAAAAATGCGCAGCTAGGAAATCCTAAAAATGGAAATTTTCTAGGTATCCATGAGCTCATCGCAAGGTATGATGTCACACTGGCAGAGCATCTTAGAAAAACTTGCCTCCAAAAAAAACAAAAAAACACCGGATATCTGTCTTGGTGCACTCAGAATGAATTTTTGGATTCAATATCAGAATGTGTTTTAAGTAAAATTTGTGCCCAGATTAAAGCCTCCAAGTACTTTGCAGTGGAACTGGACTGCACTCCTGATATTTCAAAGCAAGAGCAGGCCTCAGTTATCATACGGTATATTCATACTGATGAGAAGAAGAATGTCAGTATTAATGAGTCTTTTGTGGGGTTCACGGCTGTGAAGGACACAACTGGGAAAGGCCTTGCAGACACACTGACAGGAGTGCTGGATAGTCTGGGGTTGGACTTGGCTAATTGTAGGGGCCAAAGCTATGACAATGGCTCTAATATGAGAGGGATAAACAAGGGTGTCCAAGCTTTGATACAACAGAGATGTCCAGAGGCTCTGTTCAGTCCCTGCTGTAGCCACAGCCTGAACCTTTTGATGTGTGATGCAGCTTCATCTAATAGAGAGTATCTGACCTTCTTTGGCACTCTTCAAAGATTGTACACTATGTGTTCCTCTTCAGTGAAGAGGTGGCCATTCTCACAGAATTTGTTGACATCACACTGAAACCTCTGAGTGATACCAGGTGGGAAGCAAAGCTAGACTCAGTCAAAGCTGTATGTTTCCAGTTGGGGGGATTCTAGATGCTCTATGAACTTGCAGAAGTGGCAGGAGACAGCAAAATTGTCTCAGAGGCAAAGTCACTGTCTGATGAGATTGTAAGGAGGGAGTTTCTTGTGTGCCTCCTCATTTGGTATGACTTATTGTCAGAGATAAACTTTGCAAGCAAGGCCCTACAGGCAGCAGATGTCTCAATTGACACAGCTATTAGCCTAATTGATTCTCTGAAAACGTTCTTACTCAATTATAGAGAAGAGGGCTACCAAAAGTCACTTGTAATTGCAAGCAGGATAGCAGTTGAAATGGATGCTTCTCCAGAATTCAAACAGAGATGTTTTAGGAAGCAAAAGAGTTTCCAAGATGACAATTCCAGCAATGCTCATCACGGAGAAGAACCCGAAATACACTTTAGGTGCACGGTTTTCAATGTCATTGTTGACACCATCCTGCAAGAGTTATCAGACAGGTTTTCCAATCTTTGGCTTGTGTCTGAGAAATTTAAATTCATCACTAAAATGGATCAGATGACAAAAACTGAGCTGGAAGAATCAGGATTTTTTGTTGTTGAAATTTAACGTTTCTACCAAGCACACTATGCTTTTTATATTTTACAATTGTCTTTAAAATAACATATAGTAAAACTAAATGTTTTAAATTCTCACATTTTCGGGGTGCTTCGGCACCCCCCAAAAAATGGCCTAAAAACGCTCATGCTAGTCAACCTTTTAGCCATTTACCGCCCCAGTCGGTGCGTCTGAAAAAGAGCAAATACACATGTCCAAGATGGATGGCTGAATGAACATGATCATGTTTTTTTTAAGCTTCAAATGTTTATTTGTTTGTTATTCTGCCAACGTTTATAAGAGATGTTATTCGGGTTAGAGGTCTGAAGGATTCTGGTTTGGAACAGAGAACCCAGGACTAGAAGATTTCTGTAGGTTCTGTTTTTCTGAAGGCGTACCTGAGCAGCAGACGAGCGCCCCATAGTGGTGATAACAGAATTCTGCTTCAACAATAATAATGCAGTCAACACGTTTCACATAACTTACAGTTCTTATTACGCCGTTTTATAAAACCAACTGGTTGCTTCATAATGAACTTTATATCAACATTCTCGAAATGAAACGACTAAATCCTTCAGCCTCAGAATAAAGATCATCTGGGTGTTTTTGCTGTAAGACTGAAGACATATGTTGATTCAGAACCAGCTGATGATGTTCAAACCTTCATCATCAGCTGAAAACTTTGGTCTGAATCATTTCATGTCTTTGACCTTTGACTCTTAAGTAAATATGTGATGAAGCGCGACTCCTACTTTAGCTGAAAGAAGTTAAACATACTTACACCGGAAACAAGGCCTGTGACCACCAAAATAAAAGCACACATTCAACTCATCAGTCTTCATTTGATAAATTCAGTTACAATTATATTTATTTTGGTTAACGTATCACATTGAGCTTCACTTTTCTGAGTCAAAATTCATTCTACGTAAGTTCATTCTGGGTGATTCTGTCAGATCAATAATAAACCAATTTATTTTAGATGTATTTTATTAATTGAACTGAGATGTGTTCGACTTTTTAATTGAACACGAAATAAATTTTTCTGGCGCGTGCATGTGTGTCACAAAGTTTCAAAAGGCATCTGCAGGTAATATTCATTTGCTGAAAAAAACAAAATTTGGAAAAGCTTTTAGTTTGAAGACAGGAAGTGCGTGGTGTTGTGGCTCGCGTGACAGCTGGCGGGATCAGCTGATGGGAACTGAATCAGAACTTCCCGGACAAACTCCCAGTAACGGGAAGAGGACTCACCGGGACGCGGCTGGAGCAGGTAGGCCACGTGTCTGGTCCTTCTCACCTGGCAAGTCTCGCCTCAGGTCCAACGTCGGGTCTCAGGGGCCTCGTGTCTTATCGATTCGCTTGATGTTTGTCGGAGGAGTTTCCAGATTAAAAGATCCCCTGGTTCTGATTCTGGGCGTAAAGTGGATCAATCGGTCCTCGTTGAAGCGTTTTTGTTTGAAACTTCTGGGTTTACTGGATGGAACTGGTTCTGCTGCTCTTTGTATTTGGGTCCAGGTGCAGATTCTGGGTCAGATCTAGAGGTTCTTCTGGTTTCTCTGACAGAATGTAGATAGTTCCCGTTAACATCCATCTGATCCATTCCACAGATCTTGTCCTGGTCCGGGTTCTCCTCCAGAGATGCTCTGATGACGAGAACACCTGTCTGCCCAACAAAGTCAGGGATCAGAGGTCATGGCGGACAAGTTTAAACATGTTCCCTGATCCTTTAAATAACTAAGCTTTTCCAGATTTCATGAGTAGTTCCTGATGTTCTCTCTAGAGGAAGAACCTGTGAATCCTTGAACTGGATCCTCAGAGGCTCAGACTGGATTTACTGTAAAATTTCAGAAAGCAAATCTTTTTGGGGGATATGTAAAAAAATGTCTCTTGCAGGGTGGGCCTCCAGCATGTTAACCAACATTATGTACCATTACATAAACAAAGATAAAGTACCACAGCAGTAGTACTACAGTACTACAACATCTATGTAAACGTTTCACAATAAAGAGAGAGAACATCATCTAAAAATAAAGTCACATGATGTGGAAGCATTTAAAGAAAACATAATTTTTCTATGAAAATATTAATATTAAATATGAAAGTTATCTGGCTAATCGAACCATCCTGAGGTGACTATAAATGAAATCTGTTGATTTAGCTGTGATCGGACCTGAACCAGGATGGAGATCTGTCACTTAAAACTAACTTCAGCATGGTTTCCTTTTTGCTTTTCACAGTGCTGATGTGGAGGTTCTAAGAAAAGCAACAATTTTTGTGTTTTTTTTAATGTTCCTCATACATATGACATATGTATATATGTCGATGGTTCCTCAGCAATTCACTTTTCCGCTCACCTTAAGGGGTGGTCACAATCTTTCAACAATTAAAGAGATATCGTTTGGATGTGGATCGTTTGTGCTCTGCTTTGATTGGGCAATACTATGTCATTGAATATATATGTGTTGTTTACCGTGATTATTGGGGAGACATCTGTATGGTTAATGGGTGCGTCCCCTTGGGATCTCTGCCTATGTGTTTCATGTTTCTCCTGACAGATTGTGATCTTGTTTGGACCAATGTTTTAAGCCTGTCTGACTGAGGGGGTCCGGAGAAGCTGAATGATGCTGGCGGCAGGTGGAAGCTCCTCCTCAGCCCTCCAGTTCCGCGGGGGAGCAGTGGCACTGCCGGTAAACCCAGCTGATGTTCCGGCTCTGGAGATAAAACTGGGAGCTCTGGTGGTTCTGCTGTCCATCACTCTGGTGTTTGGATTTGCTCCACTCTGCATCGTCCGAGGGACGGGGCGCTGCAGCATCAACTCAGGTGGGTCCAAGTACCAGTGGGGGGAGGGGCTCTGATCTCATATCAGTTTCTGACCTGGTCTTAGACCTGTTTCTGACCTGATCACAGATTTGTTTCTGACCTGTATTTGACATGGTCTCAGACCTATTTCTGATCTGATCTCAGACCTGTATCTGACCTGGTCTCAGACCTGTTTCTGACCTGGTCTCAGGCCTGTTTCTGACCTGTATTTGACATGGTTTCAGACCTGTTTCTGATTTGATCTCAGACCTGTGTCTGACCTGGTCTCAGACCTTTATCTGACCTGGTTTCAGACCTGTTTCTGATCTGATCTCAGACCTGTATCTGACCTCGTCTCAGACCTGTTTCTGACCTGGTCTCAGGCCTGTTTCTGACCTGTATTTGACATGGTTTCAGACCTGTTTCTGATTTGATCTCAGACCTGTGTCTGACCTGGTCTCAGACCTTTATCTGACCTGGTTTCAGACCTGTTTCTGACCTGATCTCAGACCTGTTTTTGATCTGATCTCAGACCTGTATCTGACCTGATCACAGACCTGTTTCTGACCTGGTCTCAGACCTGTATCTGACCTGATCTCAGACCTGTTTCTGATCTGATCTCAGACCTGTTTCTGATCTGATCTCAGACCTGTATCTGACCTGATCACAGACCTGTTTCTGACCTGGTCTCAGACCTTTATCTGACCTGGTCTCAGACCTGTTTCTGATCTGATCTCAGACCTGTTTCTGATCTGATCTCAGACCTGTATCTGACCTGGTCTCAGACCTGTTTCTGACCTGGTCTCAGACCTGTTTCTGACCTGATCTCAGACCTGTTTCTGATCTGATCTCAGACCTGTTTCCGACCTGATCTCACATCTGTTTCTGACCTGGTCTCAGACCTCTTTCTGAGCTGTATTTGACCTGGTCTCAGACCTGTCTCTGACCTGATCTCAGACGTGTTTCTGATCTGATCTCAGACCTGTATCTGACCTGGTCTCAGACCTGTTTCTGACCTGATCTCAGACCTGTTTCTGATCTGATCTCAGACCTGTATCTGACCTGGTCTCAGACCTGTTTCTGACCTGATCTCAGACCTGTTTCTGATCTGATCTCAGACCTGTTTCCGCCCTGATCTCACATCTGTTTCTGACTTGGTCTCAGACCTGTTTCTGAGCTGTATTTGACCTGGTCTCAGACCTGTTTCTGACCTAGTCTCAGAGCTATCTCTGACCTGATCTCAGACCTGTTTCTGAGCTGATCACAGACCTGTTCTTAGAGCTGTTTCTGACCTGATCTCACATCTGTTTCTGACCTGGTCTCAGACCTGTTTCTGACCTGATCTCAGACCTGTTTCTGACCTGGTCTCAGACCTGTTTCTGACCTGGTCTCAGAGCTGTTTCTGACCTGATCTCAGACCTGTTTCTGAACTGATCGCAGACCTGTTCTCAGAGCTGTTTCTGACCTGATCTTAGACCTGTTTCTGACCTAGTCTCAGACCTGGATCTGACCTGATCTCAGACCTGTTTCTGACCTGATCTCACATATGTTTCTGACCTGATCTCAGACCTGTTTCTGATCTGATCTCAGACCTGTTTCTGACCTGATCGCAGAACTGTTCTCAGAGCTATCTCTGACCTGATCTCAGACCTGTTTCTGACCTGATCACAGACCTGTTCTTAGAGCTGTTTCTGACCTGATCTCACATCTGTTTCTGACCTGGTCTCAGACCTGTTTCTAACCTGATCTCAGACCTGTTTCTGACCTAGTCTCAGAGTTGTTTCTGACCTGATCTCAGACCTGTTTCTGACCTGATCGCAGACCTGTTCTCAGAGCTGTTTCTGACCTGATCTTAGACCTGTTTCTGACCTAGTCTCAGACCTGGATCTGACCTGATCTCAGACCTGTTTCTGACCTGATCTCACATATGTTTCTGACCTGATCTCAGACCTGTTTCTGATCTGATCTCAGACCTGTTTCTGACCTGATCGCAGAACTGTTCTCAGAGCTATCTCTGACCTGATCTCAGACCTGTTTCTGACCTGATCACAGACCTGTTCTTAGAGCTGTTTCTGACCTGATCTCACATCTGTTTCTGACCTGGTCTCAGACCTGTTTCTGACCTGATCTCAGACCTGTTTCTGACCTGGTCTCAGAGCTGTTTCTGACCTGATCTCAGACCTGTTTCTGACCTGATCGCAGACCTGTTCTCAGAGCTGTTTCTGACCTGATCTTAGACCTGTTTCTGACCTAGTCTCAGACCTGTATCTGACCTGATCTCAGACCTGTTTCTGACCTGATCTCACATCTGTTTCTGACCTGATCTCAGACCTGTTTCTGATCTGATCTCAGACCTGTTTCTGACCTGATCGCAGAACTGTTCTCAGAGCTGTTTCTGACCTGATCTCACATCTAAACATTTACATCACAGCAACTCTACAAGAACACACTTAATATCTGCACCACATAAAGGACTCTGTTTAATTCTCACGCACTGAAAACGATCCACAAAGACACAAATGTTTTTTTTTAAAAATGTAAAATATATCAAGTCCAAAAGGCAGAGCTGGAAATTCCTGAACTAGCGGAAGGTTTAAATCTATCATTTGTGGAAAAAATGAATACTGTAGAAGGAGGAGCAGTACAAGAAATCTGTAGTATAAATACAATTTGTTTGTATTACTACCAACCACTAGAGGGCGTTTGTGTGCTCTGATGTCTGGTCCCTATCTAACTAGATAATTGGAGTGACTGGTTGGACCACCCCATACCTGAGTTGTCCTGCAGACTGAGACTCACCTCTTTAGCAACAAGTCTGTATTTAGACAGGATTCGTTCTGAAGGATGGTCTCCTCGGCTCATTCTGACAGCACAGACTTCTGGGTACTGACTGCGGACGTAGGAGGTCACATGACTGTGGAGGACGCCAGCGATGCCACTGCCTCTGAGGTCAGAAACCACCCTGCGACCCTGAAACATAACCGTCTGACCCCCATCCACGAGCAAGGCAGATTCCAGCGCCACCTGCAGGTCAAAGCAAGATTTCATCAGTAGATGAGGAAACCCTAGCCTACTAGACCCATCACCTATGTCCCGTCCTTACCACTCTGTCTTTCATCCAAGCCAAGAGGACGATCCGTCCAGGTTCCTTCAGCCAGCGGTGAAAGAAGGCAGGCAGGTAGTCCAGTCCGTTGTAGTCCTTTGAAGTGCAGATCTTCATGACCTGGATCCCAAACACAAGAGCAGAAAATCAGAAATGTCTACATTCTCCTGGAGGAGAGACTTCTATAGCTACTGAAGGACCTGCTCATAGTCCTCCTCCTTAGCCAGACAGTAGACCAAACCAAAGGCGTCCCCCATTGCAGATGTCCAGATCTCCACTAAAGCAGCTGTTCTCGTCCTGGTCCGCAGCAGATCCAACTAAGGTCCTGACAAACAGAACTCCACTCAGTTCTCTTTGTCCGAGTGGCACAAACCTGCGTGATGTCTGTGCAAAGGGGAATAAACAAATAAAATAAAAACAATCACTGACAAGAATACGACCAGTCATTGCACCCATCTATTCATTGCAATCTTCTCTTCTCGTCCACAACCTTGTCACTTCCTGGACTGACTCCACCTCTTTGGGCTCCCCAGCACATCCCTCCAGAACCAGCACGTGTTGTTATCACAAACCACCCATCACAACACCCGCGCTCTGCAACAACTCCACTGGCTTCCCCTTAAACAGAGAATCTAAAATCTCCTCATCACTGTCAAAGCTCTTCATTAGCTTATCTGGCTCCATCTGATCTCATCCACACCTCCACTCCTGTCCGGTTCCTCTCTCTTCTGTTGTTGTGTTCTCACCACCGGGGGGCGCACGTCGCTGTTCACAGTCGTCCCAGACTCCGTGAAGATTTCTGCCTCGGTCCTGATTTCCCTAAAGCTCAGCGCTGCTGCTTTCCTCAACTTGCCTAGAAATCCAGACCGCATGTTCACATTTATGGGATGGCTTGACAGCAAAAAATATTCCTATTTTAGTCCTAATCTGAAACATAAAATGCGTCTACAGTCACTTTAGCTGCACATTTGGGTCAGAATCAGTCTGACCTAAACACAATAAGTGAATATTAAAGTAATCTCATGAATAGATCTGTTATTATCTGCTGTAATAGATGCAGGGAAAACTAATCATCCTGTTGCTCTTCTCCATATGACGATAAAGTATTCTGATTACCGTCTTGTAGCGAGCCTGTCATCCGGGTGCCCGTAGGACTAATCCGGTCCGGACCTGAAACCGATTACAACCAAATGGAAAAGCAACAACTACTCGTAAAACTCTCGGCCATTAAACTTTGCTGCTTCGACACTGACGTCATCTCAACTGGTCACGTGGAACTAGCGTGGAAAAAATCCCTGATTTCTTGTTTTTTTATGTTCATTTTACATGTTTGTCACACTTTCGTGTTTCAGACCATCAAACAAATTTAAATATAAGTCAACAACAACATAAGTACACACAACCAGCTGTTTAAAGTTAATGTTATTAATGAGGAGAAAAGTCTACACGCCCCATCCTAATTCTTCTGACCGGTGTGACCACGCCCACTGGGTGCCCCTGGAGACAGCTGCCTTCTCTACAGGTCACGTGATCCTAAATATCGTGCAAAGGGTCATTTATTTCAGTGATTCGTCTTAGACTGAGAGACCATCTTCAGTTGGGTGTGAAAGTTTGGGCAGTCTTGTTAATCTTCATGAGTTTCCTATAAATCGTTGGTTGTTATGAGATTTTCAGTTAAATGTAACATATAGGAAACACAGAGTGATGTTTGAGAAGTGAAACAAAGGTTTACAGAAAGTGTGCAATACATGTTTAAACAAAACTTGGCAGGTGCATACATTTGGGCACTGTTGTCATTTTATTTATTTATTCCAAAACCTGTAGAACAAATTATTGGAACTCAGAATTGGTTTGTTAAGCTCTGTGACCCTTGACCTCCGTACACAGGTAAATCCACTTATGAGAAAGAGTATTTAGAGTATTTAATTGTAAGTTTACCTCCTTTTTGAATATTCTCTAAAGAGTAGCAACATGTAGGTCTAAAAACAACTCTCACATGACCTGAAAACAAAGACTGATCATGGCTTAGGGGATAGTATCCAGCATGTTTTGGTTTTAACTCTGTTTCAACACACCTGATTTCACAGACACAGACAGACAGGAGCAAGGTAGAAAAGAGGAGGTTAGTGGAGAAACGTTTGAAAAAGTGGACGGTGACTGCGGCTAAGCCAAGCACAAGCGCCATCTTGTTACAGACCGGAAGCACCATGTACTGTTTAACCATAAAATTTAAATGTAATAGGGTAAAACCCAGTGCATTTAACATGACGCTGCATTTTTGAAAATGGGTTGAAATATAACATGTTGGTGGAGCTGGATTCCGACTATTGGAATGGTCCCCTCCCCTCAGCGTCAGCTTGGCGCATCTCTGATCGCAGCGGCGCCTGTCTGCTGCGCGGGCTGCCGGCTTGTGGAGCTCTCGGGAGACCTCTGTGTTCCACCCGGTTTTACCCAGCAGTCAGCCCGGCGTATCTCTGACTCAAAAGCTCCGGTGTTGTGCACAGTTAACTCCGGTTGTAGCTAGGTAGCTATCTCCGTTAGCTTAGCTCCCACCTCTGCGTTAGCTTTGGGTTAGCTTGTAGCTACATCGCTTCAGTTCATCATGTGTCGTCATTTGATCCCAGCCTTACAGCCCCACCCTCAGCTCCACCTCTTTTCCCTTTTTTGGAATTGTCTTGGCTTGACGGAACCTGTGACACAGTCAAAATGGCGGTGGTAGCCACCTCCCATTTTGGCACAAAAACTTTTAATTGGAGCCTGTGGACACGAATTGTCCAGTATATATATGTCGATGGTTGGCACACTGTCAGCTGACACAGCCATATGGCTCCTTGAGAACACATCCGTTTTAGACGCAATGAACCTTTCTGCCTGTTGTGACCTGGAGACAATTCGAGACCGGACTGGTCGCACCGCAGTTAATCTATGAACTTCAGTGCCTTGAGGTCCACCAGACTTCCTGACATTCCGGATCTGACCGGGGATCTCCGATCAAGGTTTGTAGACACAACAGATTGCGTCTGATGTTGTTTTATTAATAATCAACTCTCTAGTTTATAGCAGACAACAAATTCTTTCACACCCAGAGTTCACAATCTCTTTCAGATACAAAGGTTCTGATACACATCTACTTTACACCACACCGCCTACAACTCACATTACATCACTGCATATACACTCCATCACTTCGTTATTCATAGCTTGTCGTGTATTATCATTAGTTTAGACAAGAATAAAATCCCTTTTAACAATATACTTGACTCTTCCTGAATTAACACGAAGTGTGTTTATGGTCCCTGAACAAGCAAAAACCCTAAACTATTCTGGTTAAACATTCAAAGATCAATCAGGTTTATATTTAATATTTAGATGGAATCATCACATCTTATTGGCCACGGTGGGCACGGCCTCCCTCTTCAAACGGAGGCACGCAGAATAACCCAGTTCAAACTCCATCATGTTGGCGAAGGAATCGTGGGTAAAATGCTGGTTGCAAACTACAGCACCAGGCGGGAGCTGACTGTTTTCCAGACACCGATTGCGCGCAATCAGTGGCGCCTAATTTCTAAGTCCAGTGGAAAGGAGTGCAACCCCACAGAGCCACCGAACCCACTACACTACACCTTCTCACCATACTAACACGATATGGAACACTAAACCCGAACTACTTTCCTAATAACACTAACAGCGAAACACTAACTAAACTACAATATCCAACAGCCAAGCTAACACTAAATAAGTATGTATAACACTAAAAGCTATGCTAAAGATTAGGATATGCTAATGCTATATGCTAACGCTGAACTACGGCTAACCTCCTACACTCGCTTGCAAATCCAACTCCCAGCTCGCCACAAGGCGTGGCCGAGACGCTCGATGCTTTTATAACTTTGACACAGAGCTGCTACGTAGTACTCTACTGGTTTACGTAGTATCTTTCTCTTTAGCCATTGGCTAAAGTGTATTGATGTGACAGTGTGAGCGTCCTGTCACAATGTCCCGATTGATCATGCGCCCTGGCTACTGTGCCAAGCGGATGTCCCTTTGGCTGACTGGTTAGTGCGTATGACTCTTACCCAGGAGTTTGGGGATCAAATCCTGCCTGGGCCCTTGTGCATCCACCTTGCCACATTCAAAATGACTCAAACTCTATGTTTTAAGCTGAAGGTGGCACTATGCTGTGGTATTTAGGCAGAATTTTTAATTTTTAAAGAAAATGCACCAAAATGCTAAAATAATGAATACACACATTTAAACACTATTAGACACTCATTTATAAAGTTTATCAGAAAAAAAAGGTAATTTAGACGTTACTTGCTCTTTAAATTTGCAGTCGCTACGCTATAAAGTGTGATGCTACAACCCAATTAAAGTTGGATTATATGGAGTCTATTTTATGTCAATAAGGTCTCGCGAGAGCATGCACGATCACGAGAGGATAATTAAACGTCCGTGAAAGGACAAGTTCCCATCCACTAGCGCTCCAAATGTCCTCCGTGCGTGTTTTAAACTATCCGCGAGTGCGAAAAAGCACCTTGCACGTGTTTACAAAGACCCGAGAGCAGATTGTATCCAGTCACACACAGACAATTGTTCCTGTCACTCGTAAGTGTGGGTACTACGCGCGTAGAACTGTTAAAACACGCTCGCGCAGCCTGCTCTGCTCTCGAGTAGAAATTCCGCTCTATCGGACAAGTTTCACTTTTCACACTTTGGGGGGTGGGTTCCAAGGAGCCGCCTTCCCTAATGTGATTGGTCACTTTCAGACAGAGATCTTTACCACATTTTTTACCACAGTACTCGTTTACATGCAGAAAACGTATCCTCACAGAACAAGGCTATCCCAGCATGCTTTGCGCGCCGGCTGTGGTTTTTCAACAGGAAGAGAAAATGGGGAGAACTACGAAGTTTTAAACGTGTTTGTTTAAAAACTAGTGGTAGAAAACTAAAAAGCTTAAAGTGGTTCTGTTTATAGACAGTGTGTGTGTGTGTGTGTGTGTGTGTGTGTGTGTGTGTGTGTGTGTGTGTGTGTGTGTGTGTGTGTGTGTGTGTGTGTGTGTGTGTGTGTGTGTGTCTGTGCATGCATGATATCAATTTTAGCCTTGTTTATTTATTCTTTATTTAACCAGGAAGGTCCCTTTGAGATTAAAAACCTCATTTTCAAGGGAGTGCTGGGCAAGAGACTGAAAAAATTACAGTTATATTTGTTTTAGCTACACAGACATGTTATTTACAAGATTACAGAAGGCAGTTACAGTTATGGCTATCGTGGGTTTTGTGAACCAGGATATACACCTAGCTTATAAATGTTATCTTGTCTGTTACCTAAACATTTTTGGCCGGTCACACTAACTGATAGGGTAACACACGACATAAATAAGTTATATATGTTTTTAACCATCACTCTCTCCATTCATGCAGTCACGTGTGGTCTGGTGGTGGTCGGAGGAACCGGTGGCGCCTGTGCTCGGCAGCCTCGCCTCTGTCAGTGCGCCCTAGGGCAGCTGTGGCTACATTGTAGCTCATCACCATCAGTGTGTGAATGTGTGTGTGAATGGATGAATGATACACTGTAGTGTAAAGCGCTTTGGAGTCCTTACTCTGAGAGGTGCTATACAAGTGCGGGTCATTTATCATTTATCATGAGTAGGGAAGGCAGTCATCGTGACTATTTAGACCAATAATGATATAGTAGGAAATCAATGTGTCCACTGACTGCCTGGTTTATGTTTGATTTCAACATGTTTATGGTCAAAATTGCAGAAATTTACCCGTTTCCTGATCAAATACTTAAGCCCAAGGGGAGGCGATGAACTAGCTACCTTGCTCTCACTCCTGCGCACATGGCAGGGCGCACGCGCCAAAGCCCCATTTCTATTGTGAGGCGCTGCGCCATCAGACTGGAGGCAGAGATGAACGCCTCTAGTCTCATTCTATCAATAGAAGCTTCGGGGATTGTGTATTTGTAAGTCTGACTCCAGTCCACTCCAGCCAGTGCCTCCCCAGTCCTGAACCTCACCGCACGTCACTGCATTCACAGCCAAGCTCTGTCAACCATGCTCACTTGTTTGATGGTGTGAGAAAAGTGGTAAATCTTTTACTCTGCATTTCCCACACCCTGTAACATTTTCCTAATTTTAACCTATTATATGTAAGTGTAGGCTCAATATTTTATAAATGAGAAAAAAATATGTTTATGGCTCCTCAATGCTTCTGTTTGGTTAAAGGGTGAAATGTTTTATCACAGTTACTCATCGTCTGTTTATTATACCAATAATCTTTTTCTCATAGACAACTACACTGACCTGTGCCAACAGAGGGAGGCTTTCATAAAGGGTGAGGACATCTGGAAAAGAGAGGAAGACAGGGGAGGAAAGAGGAAGATAAAGCCCAACAGCAGGTGGATGGACAATGAGGAAGAGAGTCAACAATCAAAAAAGGTAAATTAATTGATTAAAAGATGTGGAAATGGACAGCTCTCAAATTAATTGAGTGCAATTGCATACAACACCTTAAATAAGTGACACTTTTACAAACTATGTTATGATAATATTCATATATTCCTATGAACTGCTTTGAAACCTTTATTTAAAAAACTTAAAAAGTTATTGTATCACTATACTCTGAGTATTCTAGTACTAAATATTTCCTTTTAGCACATGTATTATAATTTGCATCAATGCTCATATACTATAAACTCTGAAATTTTGCAGCAAAAATTTTAAACGGCATCCTGTCCTTCAAAAGAGGCTGCAGACCAAATGATTGAAGACTTGAAGAAGGATCTGATGGCAAGACAAAAAGATTTAGAGGTAATTTATCACATTTGAATGTTTACAAGCAGTAGTTGTAAACATGCTACTTGTGTCTGAAACACATGACACTAACATGTTGTGTGTGTTTTGGTGTTGATTTCTGTGTCTTGCAGTCCCCATCCGAATATGAGGAGTTATCAGATGACGAGCTGCCATCCAGGAACTGGAGCAAGGCACAAAGGCAAATAAAGCCGTTAATAGCCGAGAATAAAAGGCTGAAAGAAGACAACTTTAAACACCCAATAGAAGCAATGAAAGGTATGTTTATATGATCAGTCTTTTCATGTAGAGACAAGATAACTAGATTAGGATTTTATTTATCTTAAAGTTGCACAAAAAATGACTGACTTTGTTTTTTTTTTGTATGGTTTGAGAGTTTGCTTAAATAGCAGACATGGGGCTTTAATGTTTTTAAATAATTATTTATATCTTCATTCTCAACAGAGCTTCCAGCAGTCGGGCAGAACTTACGAGACATATCTGAGCTATTGTCATTGATCTCAAGCAGTGCATCTGCCAGATCAACACTCGTGCAAACACCTGTACGAACACCAGCGAGATCAGAACTGCAACTTTCTGCACCCGCGTCTCCTCAGGTGGACTCTGCTGACTTGGTAATGCTTGTATTGCACTAGAATAGGGGTGGTGGTGTAAACTTTAGTTGTCACCATTTTCACACCTTCTGAATTTGTATGTATCAGGTTGAATAAAGTCTCTCGGAAAAAGTCCAAAAGTATAAATGTTTACAATGACACCGAGCAATCGTTTTATTCATAGAAGTAGGGGAAACATGAGTTTAGAGGTGAGGAGTCGGACTGCATGAAGAGGTGTAGGACAGTGAGGGACACATTTGTCCATGTTAAAAAGTCTGAAATACATAAACACAAAATGTAATACACTATCATTCACCAGGGACATGACTGTGGTGGCAGGAAACCACCAGATCATTATCATTATTATGAATTATTATAAAACATCAGAATACATCTGTTACATACATACTCAGATAGAATTGTCAACAGAGAGTGTGAAGTGTTTGGTTTTGAAAAAGTAATTTATTTTGGCAAGTCGGTCAAAATGTCTGACGATTTTGACTTTATCAGTGTGGCTAATTGTTTTGCAGGTGTCTCTTGTGTCAGGAGAGTCAAAGTCCCCAGACAGAAGCTCAACTCTCTGCGGACTTCAAGTCACTCAGTTTACATCGGAGACCTGGCAGTGCTCGTCTACGGCAGGGAAACGCTGTCCTGTGACCCCCCCCCCCCACCACCACCACCACCACCACCACCACCACCACTACCACACTTCCCACTGTAAGCCGCCGGCTTCATTTATGTTGATTTTAATTCCCTGCTTTCATTGGTCTCTTTATCTCTTGTTTTACCCATTTGTTTTCTACTTTAATGTTTTTACCTTTTCTTTCATCATGTACCGTGTTCAGCGCCTTGCCCCCCCCCCCCCCCCCACTGGTTTACACACTAATCTGTTAGCGCAGTAGACATGATGAAATGCTAAAGACTGGCTTCTTCAAAAGTTTCTTATAAGTTCCAAAGTGTGTAAACGGTCTTTCTGCCACCTAGCATGACAGAACTAAATCCTGGCTATTCCAGCTGCAGAAAATGGATCTTCTGCTTCTTTCGACTATTTTAACAGCCAATCTAAAGACAACTAGGCTACATCGGAGACCTGGCAGTCCTTGTCTACGGCAGGGAAACTCTGTCTTGTGACCCCCCCCCCCCCCCCCCCCACCACCACCACCACCACCACCACCACACTTCCCACTGGTTTGCACACTTATCTGTTAGCCGCCGGCTTCATTTATGTTGATTTTAATTCCCTGTTTTCATTGGTCTCTTTATGTCTTGTTTTACCCATTTGTTTTCTACTTTAATGTTTTTACCTTTTTTTATCCTCATGTACCGTGTTCAGCGCCTTGGGCAACCAACCCCCACCCCACTTCACACTGGTTTACACACTTATCTGTTAGCGCAGTCAACCGCTCAGCAGACTATTAACATTTGACTGTCAAATTACCTAAATAAACATGATGAAATGCTAAAGACTGGCTTCTTCAAAAGTTTCTTATAAGTTCCAAAGTGTGTAAACGGTCTTTCTGCCACCTAGCATGACAGAACTAAATCCTGGCTATTCCAGCTGCAGAAAATGGATCTCCTGCTTCTTTCGACTATTTTAACAGCCAATCTAAAGACAACTAGGCTACATCGGAGACCTGGCAGTCCTCGTCTACGGCAGGGAAACGCTGTCTTGTGACCCCCCACCCCCACCCCCACCACCACCACCACCACACTTCCCACTGGTTTACACACTTATCTGTTAGCCGCCGGCTTCATTTATGTTGATTTTAATTCCCTGCTTTCATTGGTCTCTTTATGTCTTGTTTTACCCATTTGTTTTCTACTTTAATGTTTTTACCTTTTATTTTCTCATGTACCGTGTTCAGTAAAAATGAACCACGCATGCGGACCCCCCCCCCCCCCCGCTGGCAGATCAAAGGCAGTAGGCATAATTTCAGCTAGCCAATCAGTTGGTAGTGTCGCCTCGGTCCCAGTCTGACCGCTGGGGAGGAGGTCTGAAAAAAGAGTTGCCTCGGCACCGAAAACGTGAATCTGACCTGTGTGCGAAGCCAAATTCTGGTGCCGTTCGGTAACTTTTGGGGCCGTGCCGACGCTACTGTGTAAGCGCCATAACAAAGTTTCATCCATCCATCCATTTTTGGCCACTTATCCAGGGTCAGGTCGCGGAGACAGTCGCCTAAACAGGGAGGCCAAGACTTTCCTCTCACCAGCCACTTGGGCCAGCTCTTTCGGGGGAATTCCCAAAGCGTTCCCTTCCCAGCCGAAGAGTCTCTCCTTCGGCTACATCACACATTGCACCCAACATCTTTGGCTCCTTTCACAAGTGGTGAGTCCAAGAAATGTATTGAACAGAAAGACAAGCTGAATTTACGCCCTTCTCTGTTATTGCAGCCAAACGTGTGAACTTACCTAAACAAATACGATGAAATGCTAAAAACTGGTTTCTTCATTAGCTTCCCTCCCACCCCCTCGCAATTTACTATAGTGGACAGCAAAGCATGCCCACGATGAAAAACAAGATTATAAACTTCTTTCGACTGTTTTAACAGCCCATCTAAAGTGCTGTAAATTAGCTATGGCTAAAAGCATCTTGCTACAAACATGTGAACGTGGTTTTACAATGTCCATGTTCCTGTATCTGTCTCTAAGTACATGCCATCAATGAATAATTGTGTTTGAAGGACTGATTTTAAAATTTTCGAACCCAGGGTTTAGAATGCCGGGCGTGATGCAGATTTAAGGTAAGTACTTCCTATGACTTGTATACCTTAATTTCATTGGTATTCCTTGTAAGTCTAAGCGTGGTTCATTTTTAACTTCACCCTTAGTTCTCCGAACAACGTTTGTTTGATAAGTTGACATGTTTTCTTCCTCTATGTCAGTCAATTCCTTTCTCAACGTATTTTTCGCCGCTGAGTTTTGCTTGAGAGCTGAAAGTCTCGCTTTATCTAACCGTTTTAACTTTGAGTCTACATACTCTATTCTGTCAATCGCAGAGCAAGACTCCTCCTTAACATCTAATGGTAAATGCCGGTATTTTGCCAACAAATAGTCTTGGAACTGATTCTCTCTCTTTTTCTGTTCCTCTAGGTTTGACGAGCCTTCTTGATTTGAACACTTCAGGGCTTCCAGTTTGTTAATTTTTTGTTTATTTTGTGAGATAGCACCTAAAATCCAGTCCTTCTTACGACTAGGCATTTGGTTTAATTTCATAGGAGTTGCTCTTAACTCTAAGGTTGGTACTAATTTAATTTTTGAGAGACAGTCATCTAAAATCTTCTCCTCCAGGGCTTCGTTTTCATGTTGTAATTTGTAATTTTGCAGGACTTTATTTTCCTCTTCGAGTTCCCAAAGTAAATGCCCCTGTTTACTTAAATTACGCTTATGGGCTAAAATTGTATCTTTGGCATCTCTATTTACTAAAATTAAATCAAGATCATATTTTTCTAACTCCTCTTCATAAGTGTCCAGTTGCTCTAATTTCTCTGCAGCAGAACGCTCAGTCTCTCTTACAAAGCGCTCTTTCAAATCTTTGAGTTTTTGTTCCACATTAAATAAGTTTATTAACAATCTCTCCCTTTCTTTCAGTGGTTCTATATGAGGATGATGTAGGTTTTCCATGCTACCTGTTTGCTCTGAGGCGTGAACTGTGACTGATCCGACGCTGGTCAAGGTATATGACGGTAATGAAGTTTGAGGCTTTGTGACGTCATAAAGAGAGGCGCAGACGCTGTTCACGTGACGTGTGGAAGGGGGCGGGGCCAGGAGGGCTGCTCAATTAAGTGCAAGCGTTAAGTGCGCGTGCGCAGCCAAAACGACGCAGACGCTCGGTTGTTAAAGTTACCAGTCAGTGGCGCCAAAAGTGGGTATGCAGTGTATGCGACGCATAGGGGCACCGCGCTGGAGGGTGCGCTTAAGCATTGATGGGGGGGAAGGGCTTTTTTGTGTTGCATAGCTATTGTGCATGTGTAAATTAAATAATTATTAACAGAAGCAAGCGATTGGGCGCCCCACCGCAGCCCTGCCGCCCCACACTCACACACACACACACACACACACACACACACACACACACACACACACACACACACACACACACACACACACACACACACACACAGAACGTGAACACTCTTGAGGAGTCCAGCGCGCGCGCCCGCGATTAAGCGCTGGGGCGCGAGTGTTTTCATTTGAATGATATCTACTGTCATCTGATCAGCTAGCAAGGTTAGCTAGAGATGGAAAGTCCGAAAAAAAGCTCTCCTGGGCACAAAAAAAAACGGAAGAGGGAAAGGGAAAAATGATTTCGTAGGGATGAAAAAAAACCTTTCTAAGTGATTGAAAGACAGTAGGAGAGTCATCTCGCAAGAAGGCATTATTCCTATTAGCTCTATTAGCTGAAGCTGCTAGCCTGCCTCTAGTAAAATGACAGGTTACGGGTGTTCTGTATGGACCACAAGATCAGGGTTTTAATCTCACACAGGCTTCTGGGAGTAGTCGGATCTCCGTGAGAGCAGCGGGGGTGGTGGTGGTGAGGGGGAGGGGGGGGGTTGATTCAGCTAGATCTAATAAAAAATACGTAATAGATAATCACAAGAAAAATAAAGGAACCAGGGGTGGTTATTTAGTTTTTCTGACAGTAATCCTTTGTTTAATTGGATGTTGAGTGATAATACTGATAAATTATTGAATTGGGTGATGCACTTCAGATTTGCTCTTAAATTCCTGCAATTTTAAACTAAAACATAATGTTTTTATATGTAGTTTGAGACTTGTATTTTTTTAATATTTCTAAATTCAAATTTCTTATTATTCAGATGTGCGGATGGAGAGAAAGAAGAAAAAAGAGATATAAAGAATCAGAACAGAGATAGGAAGGCAACAGGTTGGTCTAATACTAGGTGGAAGTGAACACTCACTTAATACCAAGTGATCAATTTTTAAATATTATTTATAATGATCAAGTGCATTTTCAAGAGTGGTAATTTATAGCTGTTAAATAATGCTTGAGACCATGACAGATAGGAATACATATACTAGAATGGCCATTAAAAACCTGGAATTCTAGTATGATTAGAATTTTACTGACCATCTTTTTGTCCTTTAAGAAAAATAAGTGCAGGCAGACAAGGCAAGTCAATGACTACGGGGGAGAATGTGGAGCAGAGAGGTCTACATGATGAAGAAGAGGGACAGAAACAGAGAGATCCACATGATGAAGGAGAGAGAGAACATAGAGGTCTACACAAAGAAGAGGGAGAAGAACAAAGAGGTCAACATGATAAAGAGGAAGAGGAACAGAGAAGTGCAGAGGAGAGGGCTGGTGAAAGACCTTATTTAAAAGATCCATCTGAATGGCCTTCACCACATGAAATTGGGGACACATTGAGGCAGTACATGGTTCAGAATGGCCCACCGAAATGTCCTGGTGGGCCATATCCAAGATCAGAGAAGAGTAAACGGTGTTTTTCCAAAGCACACTGTTTTCGTTTACTGTCCAATGGAGAGAAAGTGGAACGGGATTGGTTACTGTACTCCAAAAGTACTAAAAGTCTATTGTTTTGCTTGTAAGCTTTTTGGTGAAGCTAGAGTTGCTGACACACGCCTTGTGACGGGTTATAACAACTGGCAGTGTCTTTCAAAAACCCTGATGCACCATGAAACTAGTGGTTATCACATAAATGCTTATCTGTGTCACGATCTGCTCCTGCCTCCCTCTGACTGTGACTCTCCCCTGCCTCCTGTTTAGTTTTTTGGTCTCACCTGCCCCTTGTTAACCTGCCCATGTGTTCCTGATTGTTTCCCTGTGTATTTATACCTCCCGTCTTGTATGTGTCAGTGTCGGATCATTGTTGTTTGTCGTGTTGTTCTTGTTGTATCCTGCCGTATCCTGCTATTAAATCCATTTTTATGTTATCCATGCCTGCATTCCTGCCTCCTGATCAGCTCCACCACACATGGTCCGACGCCACCCACACCACATCATGACAATCTGATGTGGAAAGAATTGGCATCTCGCTTACGCATAGGTAAAACTATTGATTGTGAATTACAGAGAGCCACGCCCGCTGAAAAGACACACTGGAGAAGTATTTTGACTCGAGTGATTGACTGCATACTCTTCCTTGCTGAAAGAAACTGCCGCTGAGGGGAAAAAATGCGCAGCTAGGAAATCCTAAAAATGGAAATTTTCTAGGTATCCATGAGCTCATCGCAAGGTATGATGTCACACTGGCAGAGCATCTTAGAAAAACTTGCCTCCAAAAAAAAAACAAAAAAACACCGGATATCTGTCTTGGTGCACTCAGAATGAATTTTTGGATTCAATATCAGAATGTGTTTTAAGTAAAATTTGTGCCCAGATTAAAGCCTCCAAGTACTTTGCAGTGGAACTGGACTGCACTCCTGATATTTCAAAGCAAGAGCAGGCCTCAGTTATCATACGGTATATTCATACTGATGAGAAGAAGAATGTCAGTATTAATGAGTCTTTTGTGGGGTTCACGGCTGTGAAGGACACAACTGGGAAAGGCCTTGCAGACACACTGACAGGAGTGCTGGATAGTCTGGGGTTGGACTTGGCTAATTGTAGGGGCCAAAGCTATGACAGTGGCTCTAATATGAGAGGGATAAACAAGGGTGTCCAAGCTTTGATACAACAGAGATGTCCAGAGGCTCTGTTCAGTCCCTGCTGTAGCCACAGCCTGAACCTTTTGATGTGTGATGCAGCTTCATCTAATAGAGAGTATCTGACCTTCTTTGGCACTCTTCAAAGATTGTACACTATGTGTTCCTCTTCAGTGAAGAGGTGGCCATTCTCACAGAATTTGTTGACATCACACTGAAACCTCTGAGTGATACCAGGTGGGAAGCAAAGCTAGACTCAGTCAAAGCTGTATGTTTCCAGTTGGGGGGGATTCTAGATGCTCTATAAACTTGCAGAAGTGGCAGGAGACAGCAAAATTGTCTCAGAGGCAAAGTCACTGTCTGATGAGATTGTAAGGAGGGAGTTTCTTGTGTGCCTCCTCATTTGGTATGACTTATTGTCAGAGATAAACTTTGCAAGCAAGGCCCTACAGGCAGCAGATGTCTCAATTGACAGCTATTAGCCTAATTGATTCTCTGAAAACGTTCTTACTCAATTATAGAGAAGAGGGCTACCAAAAGTCACTTGTAATTGCAAGCAGGATAGCAGTTGAAATGGATGCTTCTCCAGAATTCAAACAGAGATGTTTTAAGAAGCAAAAGAGTTACCAAGATGACAATTCCAGCAATGCTCATCACGGAGAAGAACCCGAAATACACTTTAGGTGCACGGTTTTCAATGTCATTGTTGACACCATCCTGCAAGAGCTATCAGACAGGTTTTCCAATCTTTGGCTTGTGTCTGAGAAATTTAAATTCATCACTAAAATGGATCAGATGACAAAAACTGAGCTGGAAGAATCAGGATTTTTTGTTGTTGAAATTTAACGTTTCTACCAAGCACACTATGCTTTTTATATTTTACAATTGTCTTTAAAATAACATATAGTAAAACTAAATGTTTTAAATTCTCACATTTTCGGGGTGCTTCGGCACCCCCCAAAAAATGGCCTAAAAACGCTCATGCTAGTCAACCTTTTAGCCATTTACCGCCCCAGTCGGTGCGTCTGAAAAAGAGCAAATACACATGTCCAAGATGGATGGCTGAATGAACATGATCATGTTTTTTTTAAGCTTCAAATGTTTATTTGTTTGTTATTCTGCCAACGTTTATAAGAGATGTTATTCGGGTTAGAGGTCTGAAGGATTCTGGTTTGGAACAGAGAACCCAGGACTAGAAGATTTCTGTAGGTTCTGTTTTTCTGAAGGCGTACCTGAGCAGCAGACGAGCGCCCCATAGTGGTGATAACAGAATTCTGCTTCAACAATAATAATGCAGTCAACACGTTTCACATAACTTACAGTTCTTATTACGCCGTTTTATAAAACCAACTGGTTGCTTCATAATGAACTTTATATCAACATTCTCGAAATGAAACGACTAAATCCTTCAGCCTCAGAATAAAGATCATCTGGGTGTTTTTGCTGTAAGACTGAAGACATATGTTGATTCAGAACCAGCTGATGATGATGTTCAAACCTTCATCATCAGCTGAAAACTTTGGTCTGAATCATTTCATGTCTTTGACCTTTGACTCTTAAGTAAATATGTGATGAAGCGCGACTCCTACTTTAGCTGAAAGAAGTTAAACATACTTACACCGGAAACAAGGCCTGTGACCACCAAAATAAAAGCACACATTCAACTCATCAGTCTTCATTTGATAAATTCAGTTACAATTATATTTATTTTGTTTAACGTATCACATTGAGCTTCACTTTTCTGAGTCAAAATTCATTCTACGTAAGTTCATTCTGGGTGATTCTGTCAGATCAATAATAAACCAATTTATTTTAGATGTATTTTATTAATTGAACTGAGATGTGTTCGACTTTTTAATTGAACACGAAATAAATTTTTCTGGCGCGTGCATGTGTGTCACAAAGTTTCAAAAGGCATCTGCAGGTAATATTCATTTGCTGAAAAAAACAAAATTTGGAAAAGCTTTTAGTTTGAAGACAGGAAGTGCGTGGTGTTGTGGCTCGCGTGACAGCTGGCGGGATCAGCTGATGGGAACTGAATCAGAACTTCCAGGACAAACTCCCAGTAACGGGAAGAGGACTCACCGGGACGCGGCTGGAGCAGGTAGGCCACGTGTCTGGTCCTTCTCACCTGGCAAGTCTCGCCTCAGGTCCAACGTCGGGTCTCAGGGGCCTCGTGTCTTATCGATTCGCTTGATGTTTGTCGGAGGAGTTTCCAGATTAAAAGATCCCCTGGTTCTGATTCTGGGCGTAAAGTGGATCAATCGGTCCTCGTTGAAGCGTTTTTGTTTGAAACTTCTGGGTTTACTGGATGGAACTGGTTCTGCTGCTCTTTGTATTTGGGTCCAGGTGCAGATTCTGGGTCAGATCTAGAGGTTCTTCTGGTTTCTCTGACAGAATGTAGATAGTTCCCGTTAACATCCATCTGATCCATTCCACAGATCTTGTCCTGGTCCGGGTTCTCCTCCAGAGATGCTCTGATGACGAGAACACCTGTCTGCCCAACAAAGTCAGGGATCAGAGGTCATGGCGGACAAGTTTAAACATGTTCCCTGATCCTTTAAATAACTAAGCTTTTCCAGATTTCATGAGTAGTTCCTGATGTTCTCTCTAGAGGAAGAACCTGTGAATCCTTGAACTGGATCCTCAGAGGCTCAGACTGGATTTACTGTAAAATTTCAGAAAGCAAATCTTTTTGGGGGATATGTAAAAAAATGTCTCTTGCAGGGTGGGCCTCCAGCATGTTAACCAACATTATGTACCATTACATAAACAAAGATAAAGTACCACAGCAGTAGTACTACAGTACTACAACATCTATGTAAACGTTTCACAATAAAGAGAGAGAACATCATCTAAAAATAAAGTCACATGATGTGGAAGCATTTAAAGAAAACATAATTTTTCTATGAAAATATTAATATTAAATATGAAAGTTATCTGGCTAATCGAACCATCCTGAGGTGACTATAAATAAAATCTGTTGATTTAGCTGTGATCGGACCTGAACCAGGATGGAGATCTGTCACTTAAAACTAACTTCAGCATGGTTTCCTTTTTGCTTTTCACAGTGCTGATGTGGAGGTTCTAAGAAAAGCAACAATTTTTGTGTTTTTTTTAATGTTCCTCATACATATGACATATGTATATATGTCGATGGTTCCTCAGCAATTCACTTTTCTGCTCACCTTAAGGGGTGGTCACAATCTTTCAACAATTAAAGAGATATTGTTTGGATGTGGATCGTTTGTGCTCTGCTTTGATTGGGCAATACTATGTCATTGAATATATATGTGTTGTTTACCGTGATTATTGGGGAGACATCTGTATGGTTAATGGGTGCGTCCCCTTGGGATCTCTGCCTATGTGTTTCATGTTTCTCCTGACAGATTCTGATCTTGTCTGGACCAATGTTTTAAGCCTGTCTGACTGAGGGGGTCCGGAGAAGCTGAATGATGCTGGCGGCAGGTGGAAGCTCCTCCTCAGCCCTCCAGTTCCGCGGGGGAGCAGTGGCACTGCCGGTAAACCCAGCTGATGTTCCGGCTCTGGAGATAAAACTGGGAGCTCTGGTGGTTCTGCTGTCCATCACTCTGGTGTTTGGATTTGCTCCACTCTGCATCGTCCGAGGGACGGGGCGCTGCAGCATCAACTCAGGTGGGTCCAAGTACCAGTGGGGGGAGGGGCTCTGATCTCATATCAGTTTCTGACCTGGTCTTAGACCTGTTTCTGACTTGATCACAGATTTGTTTCTGACCTGTATTTGACATGGTCTCAGACCTGTTTCTGATCTGATCTCAGACCTGTATCTGACCTGGTCTCAGACCTGTTTCTGACCTGGTCTCAGGCCTGTTTCTGACCTTTATTTGACATGGTTTCAGACCTGTTTCTGATTTGATCTCAGACCTGTGTCTGACCTGGTCTCAGACCTTTATCTGACCTGGTTTCAGACCTGTTTCTGACCTGATCTCAGACCTGTTTCTGATCTGATCTCAGACCTGTTTCTGATCTGATCTCAGACCTGTATCTGACCTGGTCTCAGACCTGTATCTGACCTGATCACAGACCTGTTTCTGACCTGGTCTCAGACCTGTTTCTGACCTGGTCTCAGACCTGTTTCTGATCTGATCTCAGACCTGTATCCGACCTGGTCTCAGACCTGTTTCTGATCTGATCTCAGACCTGTTTCTGATCTGATCTCAGACCTGTATCTGACCTGGTCTCAGACCTGTTTCTGACCTGGTCTCAGACCTGTTTCTGACCTGATCTCAGACCTGTTTCTGATCTGATCTCAGACCTGTTTCCGACCTGATCTCACATCTGTTTCTGACCTGGTCTCAGACCTCTTTCTGAGCTGTATTTGACCTGGTCTCAGACCTGTCTCTGACCTGATCTCAGACGTGTTTCTGATCTGATCTCAGACCTGTATCTGACCTGGTCTCAGACCTGTTTCTGACCTGATCTCAGACCTGTTTCTGATCTGATCTCAGACATGTATCTGACCTGGTCTCAGACCTGTTTCTGACCTGATCTCAGACCTGTTTCTGATCTGATCTCAGACCTGTATCTGACCTGGTCTCAGACCTGTTTCTGACCTGATCTCAGACCTGTTTCTGATCTGATCTCAGACCTGTTTCCGACCTGATCTCACATCTGTTTCTGACTTGGTCTCAGACCTGTTTCTGAGCTGTATTTGACCTGGTCTCAGACCTGTTTCTGACCTAGTCTCAGAGCTATCTCTGACCTGATCTCAGACCTGTTTCTGACCTGATCACAGACCTGTTCTTAGAGCTGTTTCTGACCTGATCTCACATCTGTTTCTGACCTGGTCTCAAACCTGTTTCTGACCTGATCTCAGACCTGTTTCTGACCTGGTCTCAGACCTGTTTCTGACCTGGTCTCAGAGCTGTTTCTGACCTGATCTCAGACCTGTTTCTGACCTGATCGCAGACCTGTTCTCAGAGCTGTTTCTGACCTGATCTTAGACCTGTTTCTGACCTAGTCTCAGACCTGGATCTGACCTGATCTCAGACCTGTTTCTGACCTGATCTCACATATGTTTCTGACCTGATCTCAGACCTGTTTCTGATCTGATCTCAGACCTGTTTCTGACCTGATCGCAGAACTGTTCTCAGAGCTATCTCTGACCTGATCTCAGACCTGTTTCTGACCTGATCACAGACCTGTTCTTAGAGCTGTTTCTGACCTGATCTCACATCTGTTTCTGACTGGTCTCAGACCTGTTTCTGACCTGATCTCAGACCTGTTTCTGACCTGGTCTCAGACCTGTTTCTGACCTGGTCTCAGAGCTGTTTCTGACCTGATCTCAGACCTGTTTCTGACCTGATCGCAGACCTGTTCTCAGAGCTGTTTCTGACCTGATCTTAGACCTGTTTCTGACCTAGTCTCAGACCTGTATCTGACCTGATCTCAGACCTGTTTCTGACCTGATCTCACATCTGTTTCTGACCTGATCTCAGACCTGTTTCTGATCTGATCTCAGACCTGTTTCTGACCTGATCGCAGAACTGTTCTCAGAGCTGTTTCTGACCTGATCTCACATCTAAACATTTACATCACAGCAACTCTACAAGAACACACTTAATATCTGCACCACATAAAGGACTCTGTTTAATTCTCACGCACTGAAAACGATCCACAAAGACACAAATGTTTTTTTTTAAAAATGTAAAATATATCAAGTCCAAGAGGCAGAGCTGGAAATTCCTGAACTAGCGGAAGGTTTAAATCTATCATTTGTGGAAAAAATGAATACTGTAGAAGGAGGAGCAGTACAAGAAATCTGTAGTATAAATACAATTTGTTTGTATTACTACCAACCACTAGAGGGCGTTTGTGTGCTCTGATGTCTGGTCCCTATCTAACTAGATAATTGGAGTGACTGGTTGGACCACCCCATACCTGAGTTGTCCTGCAGACTGAGACTCACCTCTTTAGCAACAAGTCTGTACTTAGACAGGATTCGTTCTGAAGGATGGTCTCCTCGGCTCATTCTGACAGCACAGACTTCTGGGTACTGACTGCGGACGTAGGAGGTCACATGACTGTGGAGGACGCCAGCGATGCCACTGCCTCTGAGGTCAGAAACCACCCTGCGACCCTGAAACACAACCGTCTGACCCCCATCCACGAGCAAGGCAGATTCCAGCGCCACCTGCAGGTCAAAGCAAGATTTCATCAGTAGATGAGGAAACCCTAGCCTACTAGACCCATCACCTATGTCCCGTCCTTACCACTCTGTCTTTCATCCAAGCCAAGAGGACGATCCGTCCAGGTTCCTTCAGCCAGCGGTGAAAGAAGGCAGGCAGGTAGTCCAGTCCGTTGTAGTCCTTTGAAGTGCAGATCTTCATGACCTGGATCCCAAACACAAGAGCAGAAAGTCAGAAATGTCTACATTCTCCTGGAGGAGAGACTTCTATAGCTACTGAAGGACCTGCTCATAGTCCTCCTCCTTAGCCAGACAGTAGACCAAACCAAAGGCGTCCCCCATTGCAGATGTCCAGATCTCCACTAAAGCAGCTGTTCTCGTCCTGGTCCACAGCAGATCCAACTAAGGTCCTGACAAACAGAACTCCACTCAGTTCTCTTTGTCCGAGTGGCACAAACCAGCGTGATGTCTGTGCAAAGGGGAATAAACAAATAAAATAAAAACAATCACTGACAAGAATGCGACCAGTCATTGCACCCATCTATTCATTGCAATCTTCTCTTCTCGTCCACAACCTTGTCACTTCCTGGACTGACTCCACCTCTTTGGGCTCCCCAGCACATCCCTCCAGAACCAGCACGTGTTGTTATCACAAACCACCCATCACAACACCCGCGCTCTGCAACAACTCCACTGGCTTCCCCTTAAACAGAGAATCTAAAATCTCCTCATCACTGTCAAAGCTCTTCATTAGCTTATCTGGCTCCATCTGATCTCATCCACACCTCCACTCCTGTCCGGTTCCTCTCTCTTCTGTTGTTGTGTTCTCACCACCGGGGGGCGCACGTCGCTGTTCACAGCTCTTCTGCAGCCTTCAGAGAGTACAGACGCTTTTTTCTCAGCTCCCTTATCGGCTTCCCCAAGGCTCTTGTCCTGTCTGCCTACAGAGCACTTCTCTGCATTTCTCCTGAAACCACTACTCTTTTTTGGAAATATGGACTTAATTAATTGGCCATTCAACGTGATTGACAAAATTTTTTCTACGATGAGAACGGAGAAGGGGGCTCCCACCTGTCCCGAGGGGACATTCGCATCGGGATATGCACTCGATTCTTGGGAGGTCTGGCGAATCGTGTGCCTCTCTCAGCTGTCCATCGAGGACGTGGAAGATTTGTGGATATTCGGCCTAATGATCACTGGATTTCTTCTGATTGGAGTGGGAGGATATCTGGTTTTCTGGAAATTTGGGAAGACAGGAGCGACTGGAGTGCGACCTGCGCCCATGGAATGTGCCGCTCGTGCGGTGACCTCACAGACTGGGACGTTACTCGAGGTGAACCGTAAGCTGGACAATGTCCTTGCGGCGTTGCCTGTGTTAGTGCGCAAGATGGATTTGATCTCGGAGAGGGTCGCCGGACGATGCGGGGATGTGGAATGTAAAATTGGCTTCACTGGTGGACATGAATGACCACTTAGAGACTACAAGACGGAGAGGAAGACTATCTCTGTCTGCCCTAAACAAAGTCATGTTTATCCTTATCTGACGCCATAGCAGCCTCTCAAGGCTGCCTCAACACACCCCCACAAAAAGGAGGAATGCCGACAGATGCTGTGTCCCGACCTTCACCCTCTTCCTTCAGATTCTGCAGGAACTTCAATGTGCTCTCTGTTCCTTATCTCTCCCTCCCACCTGTTGGTCTGCAGCTGGTCGATGCGCCGCAGTGGCAGCTCCCATTGGAGGCTTCAGGATCCCGCCCACCCCCACCTCCCCATCGGACTCTGATGTTGTATACGTGCTGTCTGTGCTTCCATGTCGGGTGTTTTTTTGCATTAGAGTGCTACACCCTGCTGGTGTAACCCTGTTAATGCCTTTTTTCCCCTCCCTGAACTTTCCTCATGTAACACCCTTTTCATCTAACTATTAAGGTAGCGCGACTCATGTTGCGAATGACCGCAGTCACCAATTCTTGTTATGTGTCTTACCCACGTATGTCTGATCTTTGAATTGTGTGTGCTGAAACTGAATTTCATTTCTCTGTATGTCCTGCACATGTGGAGAATATGACAATAAATGACTTTGACTTTGACTTTGACTTTGACAGTCGTCCCAGACTCCGTGAAGATTTCTGCCTCGGTCCTGATTTCCCTGAAGCTCAGCGCTGCTGCTTTCCTCAACTTGCCTAGAAATCCAGACCGCATGTTCACATTTATGGGATGGCTTGACAACAAAAAATATTCCTATTTTAGTCCTAATCTGAAACATAAAATGCGTCTACAGTCACTTTAGCTGCACATTTGGGTCAGAATCAGTCTGACCTAAACACAATAAGTGAATATTAAAGTAATCTCATGAATAGATCTGTTATTATCTGCTGTAATAGATGCAGGGAAAACTAATCATCCTGTTGCTCTTCTCCATATGACGATAAAGTATTCTGATTACCGTCTTGTAGCGAGCCTGTCATCCGGGTGCCCGTAGGACTAATCCGGTCCGGACCTGAAACCGATTACAACCAAATGGAAAAGCAACAACTACTCGTAAAACTCTCGGCCATTAAACTTTGCTGCTTCGACACTGACGTCATCTCAACTGGTCACGTGGAACTAGCGTGGAAAAAATCCCTGATTTCTTGTTTTTTTATGTTCATTTTACATGTTTGTCACACTTTCGTGTTTCAGACCATCAAACAAATTTAAATATAAGTCAACAACAACATAAGTACACACAACCAGCTGTTTAAAGTTAATGTTATTAATGAGGAGAAAAGTCTACACGCCCCATCCTAATTCTTCTGGCCGGTGTGACCACGCCCACTGGGTGCCCCTGGAGACAGCTGCCTTCTCTACAGGTCACGTGATCCTAAATATCGTGCAAAGGGTCATTTATTTCAGTGATTCGTCTTAGACTGAGAGACCATCTTCAGTTGGGTGTGAAAGTTTGGGCAGTCTTGTTAATCTTCATGAGTTTCCTATAAATCGTTGGTTGTTATGAGATTTTCAGTTAAATGTAACATATAGGAAACACAGAGTGATGTTTGAGAAGTGAAACAAAGGTTTACAGAAAGTGTGCAATACATGTTTAAACAAAACTTGGCAGGTGCATACATTTGGGCACTGTTGTCATTTTATTTATTTATTCCAAAACCTGTAGAACTAATTATTGGAACTCAGAATTGGTTTGTTAAGCTCTGTGACCCTTGACCTCCGTACACAGGTAAATCCACTTATGAGAAAGAGTATTTAGAGTATTTAATTGTAAGTTTACCTCCTTTTTGAATATTCTCTAAAGAGTAGCAACATGTAGGTCTAAAAACAACTCTCACATGACCTGAAAACAAAGACTGATCATGGCTTAGGGGATAGTATCCAGCATGTTTTGGTTTTAACTCTGTTTCAACACACCTGATTTCACAGACACAGACAGACAGGAGCAAGGTGGAAAAGAGGAGGTTAGTGGAGAAACGTTTGAAAAAGTGGACGGTGACTGCGGCTAAGCCAAGCACAAGCGCCATCTTGTTACAGACCGGAAGCACCATGTACTGTTTAACCATAAAATTTAAATGTAATAGGGTAAAACCCAGTGCATTTAACATGACGCTGCATTTTTGAAAATGGGTTGAAATATAACATGTTGGTGGAGCTGGATTCCGACTATTGGAATGGTCCCCTCCCCTCAGCGTCAGCTTGGCGCATCTCTGATCGCAGCGGCGCCTGTCTGCTGCGCGGGCTGCCGGCTTGTGGAGCTCTCGGGAGACCTCTGTGTTCCACCCGGTTTTACCCAGCAGTCAGCCCGGCGTATCTCTGACTCAAAAGCTCCGGTGTTGTGCACAGTTAACTCCGGTTGTAGCTAGGTAGCTATCTCCGTTAGCTTAGCTCCCACCTCTGCGTTAGCTTTGGGTTAGCTTGTAGCTACATCGCTTCAGTTCATCATGTGTCGTCATTTGATCCCAGCCTTACAGCCCCACCCTCAGCTCCACCTCTTTTCCCTTTTTTGGAATTGTCTTGGCTTGACGGAACCTGTGACACAGTCAAAATGGCGGTGGTAGCCACCTCCCATTTTGGCACAAAAACTTTTAATTGGAGCCTGTGGACACGAATTGTCCAGTATATATATGTCGATGGTTGGCACACTGTCAGCTGACACAGCCATATGGCTCCTTGAGAACACATCCGTTTTAGACGCAATGAACCTTTCTGCCTGTTGTGACCTGGAGACAATTCGAGACCGGACTGGTCGCACCGCAGTTAATCTATGAACTTCAGTGCCTTGAGGTCCACCAGACTTCCTGACATTCCGGATCTGACCGGGGATCTCCGATCAAGGTTTGTAGACACAACAGATTGCGTCTGATGTTGTTTTATTAATAATCAACTCTCTAGTTTATAGCAGACAACAAATTCTTTCACACCCAGAGTTCACAATCTCTTTCAGATACAAAGGTTCTGATACACATCTACTTTACACCACACCGCCTACAACTCACATTACATCACTGCATATACACTCCATCACTTCGTTATTCATAGCTTGTCGTGTATTATCATTAGTTTAGACAAGAATAAAATCCCTTTTAACAATATACTTGACTCTTCCTGAATTAACACGAAGTGTGTTTATGGTCCCTGAACAAGCAAAAAACCCTAAACTATTCTGGTTAAACATTCAAAGATCAATCAGGTTTATATTTAATATTTAGATGGAATCATCACATCTTATTGGCCACGGTGGGCACGGCCTCCCTCTTCAAACGGAGGCACGCAGAATAACCCAGTTCAAACTCCATCATGTTGGCGAAGGAATCGTGGGTAAAATGCTGGTTGCAAACTACAGCACCAGGCGGGAGCTGACTGTTTTCCAGACACCGATTGCGCGCAATCAGTGGCGCCTAATTTCTAAGTCCAGTGGAAAGGAGTGCAACCCCACAGAGCCACCGAACCCACTACACTACACCTTCTCACCATACTAACACGATATGGAACACTAAACCCGAACTACTTTCCTAATAACACTAACAGCGAAACACTAACTAAACTACAATATCCAACAGCCAAGCTAACACTAAATAAGTATGTATAACACTAAAAGCTATGCTAAAGATTAGGATATGCTAATGCTATATGCTAACGCTGAACTACGGCTAACCTCCTACACTCGTTTGCAAATCCAACTCCCAGCTCGCCACAAGGCGTGGCCGAGACGCTCGATGCTTTTATAACTTTGACACAGAGCTGCTACGCAGTACTCTACTGGTTTACGTAGTATCTTTCTCTTTAGCCATTGGCTAAAGTGTATTGATGTGACAGTGTGAGCGTCCTGTCACAATGTCCCGATTGATCATGCGCCCTGGCTACTGTGCCAAGCGGATGTCCCTTTGGCTGACTGGTTAGTGCGTATGACTCTCACCCAGGAGTTTGGGGATCAAATCCTGCCTGGGCCCTTGTGCATCCACCTTGCCACATTCAAAATGACTCAAACTCTATGTTTTAAGCTGAAGGTGGCACTATGCTGTGGTATTTAGGCAGAATTTTTAATTTTTAAAGAAAATGCACCAAAATGCTAAAATAATGAATACACACATTTAAACACTATTAGACACTCATTTATAAAGTTTATCAGAAAAAAAAGGTAATTTAGACGTTACTTGCTCTTTAAATTTGCAGTCGCTACGCTATAAAGTGTGATGCTACAACCCAATTAAAGTTGGATTATATGGAGTCTATTTTATGTCAATAAGGTCTCGCGAGAGCACGCACGATCACGAGAGGATAATTAAACGTCCGTGAAAGGACAAGTTCCCATCCACTAGCGCTCCAAATGTCCTCCGTGCGTGTTTTAAACTATCCGCGAGTGCGAAA